TAGCCTTCCCAACAAAGAAGGGGAATGCAAAAAGCTACCGCGCTCATATTCTTTCCTTCTCCATCTTTTGTGGAAAGATCTTTCTTATCTGACTTTCATAATATACTGGAACATTTTTTCTCATTTAAATTGAGTTTAGTGCTTTTTTAATCCTTCAAGCCCATCTGGTAACATGCCCAGCAAATGGTCTGATTAATGTCAGCTGTAGTTGTGGTTTCTACAAGATTATAACTTGTCTCCTGGAAACTGAACCGAATTCACTAAACTTATTTCATAGAACTACATTAATTATATGGTAAGAATTTTCAGTCATTACCAGTGTGAGCCCTGTAGACAAACTCCTGCCCAGCAAGATCTAAATTTGCATATAGCTTGATTTGTGTTCAAGTTTAAACCATAAACAAGGGTGTGACAAGCTGAGTGCTGGAGACATTGTTCTGGGGTTAGTTGAGATAAGTGGGAACACCATGAGATGCTGAGCTTGAAATATTGATAAGATGTGGACATAAGAAATTGACCCTTACGTAAACCGTATGATGTCCAAACTAGTTAGGCTTGGTCTACACTACAAAGTCAGGTCAATATAAGCCTCCTTGTATTCATGTGGCTGTGCATGTGTCGATGCTTAAATTTGTCTTCCACCAGGTGAGCCCACATCAGGTCCTTGGGCAAAGTGGGAGAGGGGTAGGCTCCATGATCCCATAAGGGGTGGAGCTTCAGGCAGAAGGGATGGAGTGTGGGACAGCTGGCCTTCAGTGTTGCCTGGACAGCACCCACTCCCTTAACACCATCTGGGGCATGCCAACCAGGGTTCTGCAGCATGTCATTTGGGGCTTGGACAGTGACTCTGGCCACTGGGACTCTGGCCACTACTAGAGTCACAGTAGTGGCAGCAGCACCTGTTTGAATCACCAGGCCGTGGGGTAAGTTGTCTGCTTTCTCCTTCTTCCCATCAGTGGGCCTGTCTCCCACCAATGTGTCACAGTAAGAAACAAAATACAGGACTATGTAGCACTTTAAAGACTAACAAGATGGTTTATTAGATGATGAGCTTTCGTGGGCCAGACCCACTTTCTCAGATCAAATAGTGGAAGAAAATAGTCACAACCATATAGACCAAAGGATACAATTTAAAAAAATGAACACATATGAAAAGGACAAATCAAATTTCAGAACAGAAGGGGGATGCGGGGGGGGGAGGTAAATGTCTGTGAGCTAATGATATTAGAGGTGATAATTGGGGAAGCTATCTTTGTAATGGGTAAAATAACTAGAATGTTTGTTGAGACCCACGCGTAAAGTGTCGAATTTTAGCATGAATGACAGTTCAGAAGATTCCCTTTCAAGTGCAGATTTAAAAGGTCTTTGAAGCAGGATGCAGGTAATTAAGTCATTGAGACAATGTCCTTTCTGGTTGAAATGGCAAGAAACTGTTTTTTCTTTGTGATCCAGTCTAATATCTGTTTTGTGGGCATTGATCCTTTGGCGAAGACACTTACAGTAACATCACCTCCCTAAACAGCACTGAACCATTGTCAATGTACTGAAGTTGACACACCAAGTGTGTAGACACCCCGTTACTTATTTTGACCCAGGCTATGTCTAGACTGCAGAGCTATCCCAGAAAAGCTCTGATGCATTCAAGGAACACATGCTTTTTCGGAACAGTTTCCAAAAAAGCGGATGTGTTCTTTCGGCATCCCTGTGTTCCTCTTGGTGAGAGGAATAAGGGATGTTCCAAAAGAGAAGTTTTGTCTGAAATTTGGCCCCATGTTGATGGGCCAAATTTCGGAAAAGCCTCTTTTGGAAAAAAAGCGGAAAAAGGTACGTGAATTGCAGTTTGCAATTCGCGTATCTTTTTCCAACTTTTCCCGGCAGTGTAGACATAGCCCCTAACAATCCTCCAGCATCTGTCCCACAATGCCCAACAATGACCACTCTAGTCACAATTGTGAACTCCACTGCCCAGAGATCAGAAGGCTCCCCTTCCCTCTGAATCCTACGCATTTTTGAAATGCCCTTTCCTGATTGTCCAGCTTGGCTAGCATACCTAGCAGATCTCTAGCTTGTTACAAACACAGGGATGTCCCCTGAATCTTCCTGAGAGATCTCAGTGAAACTTCCATGGAGGTACTCTGAAAATCCTTCCCTGAATGTTTCTAGGGATTGCAGTCTTATTTCTCTCGCTGAGACAGGATGCTTTCCCATGCGAGTCAGCAATAACTTCAGCAGGCACCATACTGTGCTTGGTGGCTTTGGGATGCCAGCAGCAGCTGTGCAATCTGTGCTTCTCAGCAGTGAGATGGCAACTAAAATCATCATTGCCTGCTGAAAATAGTACTGGTATTTAAAACCACTCATAGAACTATACTCATAGTTTCATGCAAACAAGCAGTTTCCTCCTTATTTCCCTTACCTCTGGCCAGCCATACTCACCATGGCTGGTGCTGAGGGTGGTGCTGTGCACATGCATGCACAAGCAGAAGTGTCAATATGTGTCTTATTTAAAATTTTAGAAGAGCCAGGGAGGGGAGTTTTGTAACTTAATTTCCATTTTCCATTATGACTATATTGGCAATGGAAACTCTGTGTGTGTTCGTTTGTGTGTGTATCTGCAGCTGCTGCTGCCTTGAGGGGTTGTCAGCCAATGGCCAGGGCAGTGTGTGGTGTGTGTGTGTGTGTGTTATACACCCGAGTCTTCAACTGCTAGGACCGGGATCCCTTCGCAGCGGGCAACCTATTGGAGGCTGATGGGGTGCCCCAAGAGTCTGCAGGGAGAGCTTATTACATCCGAGTCTTTGACTGCTAGGACACAAGGTCCCTCCGCAGCAAGCAGCCTAAGGAAGGCTGACGGATGCCCCAAGGGTCTGTCCCGTGGAGGCAACAGACCCCAAATTCCCAGCACTCACTGCATCTGCCCCCATGACCGGCTGGAGTTCTTTTAATTGTGTTTGGCTCTGTTACAGCAACAGGAGGAGTCAGGTTAAAGCTTAAACAGTTACAGGTTTATTAAAGAGGTTTCTAAAGCATGTGGGTTACAGTGGCTATTGCTTTATTTCTTAACTGCTAGCAAATACAGATCTTACAATGGTTACAAAGGAAAAGAAAAGAAGATAGAAAATAACGGTACCAAGTGACAGCTTAATCTTTAAAGAGTTCTATTCTATGCATGCACTAAAACAAAAGGACACATACAGGTACAATTTTTATCCCCTTCTGTGTCCCTCGATTCCAGCGTGTCAGGCCAGAATATGAGGCTGGGCATCCCCATGTGGACCTCGGGAGGCAATTACCTAACCCAACCAGCAGGTAGATTGACACTCAGAGTGTGTGTGCTGCTGGACCCATCTTTATACCCGTGGGGTCACATATTCTCTTTCTTATCTGTGGTGCCAAATTATGCTGGTCCGTCTTTGTAATGCCAGTTCTTACAAGGGAGTTGTGAACTTAATTTACACTTGTAAGAGAGATAACTGAATTGGGAGTACTGGGCATTCTTTTCTCAGCGGGAAATTCCCCTTCCAGGGATGGCTGTGTGATTGTATCAATATAGGTGCCAGTCAAGGGCAGTTCTCGCAGCCTCTAGGTCAGCTTATTGGCTTGATCACCCTCTCGTATCTGTGTTTACAGTTATCCAGGGTCATAGCAGCCAGCATATCCGGGCCTCTGTCAAGGCATCAAAGACTATGCTGATTTTATTGCTCTTTACGTCCTGTGCACTTTGAGGCACTTAAAAGGGGCAAGCAAGATGGATGTTGCAGGGGGGGTTCCTATCTGGCTACAGGGGTGGGTTACCCTTCCACACTCATGGAACACTTCACCACATGCAGAGGCAAAAGAAAAGGCCTTGGGATGATTTGTCCACTGAGATCCCACAAGTCTCTGCTGAATCAGGCTATGAGCTACAGGCCAAACAGTGAAACTGCAGGCACCCTGGACAGCGGACTTTTCCTGTCTGCCCTTTCCAGAAGGAAAAAGATGGTATCAAGGGTTTTATATTTATCCCAGCATTTCAGCTTTGGGAAAATTAAGACAACCACAACTTCACCTACAGTAATGATGGTTTTCACAGGTCAGTATATATCAAGGTAAAATTGACATGAATTTTCATTACCCTTAAGTTGTGTTCCATTAATTTTAGGGTTGGTAAATATCAGTTAATTGAATAGTCAATTAACCTCATGAATTCTTATTGGTTACTTGACTATTTTGTAGTCCCCAGGAGGTGAGGCCAGCAGTCAGTGCTCCTTGATCCGGCACGAGTCGGAACTGAGCCAGGCTGCCTGTCCGCCCAGCTCTTAATACACTTTAAATGCAAAGCCACAGTGGAGGTAGGTCTGGGATCCAGTGTAACCTGGGACAGAGCTGGGCAGCAGGCCAGCTTGCTAAAAAATTTACTGGCAAGCTTTTGCTTATTGGTTAATCAGTTAATCGACTATACTATCACATCCCTAATTAATTTATCCTTTTTTGGGGGGTGTATTTGCTGTTATATTGCACAGATTTTTCTCTGCACTGGATTTGTTACTGGACAAAATTCCATTTGGAAAATAATTATCTTCAAAAGTTCATATCTCATGCTGTAGAGTGCCCAGCCATTCAGAAAGCACCTACTTGCTTGTTACGCTGTGCTATGACACACTCATAAAATCAGTGACAAATGCAGTGTAATAATCATAAATGTACAGTAAGCACCACAAAATTAGTAGGTGCACTGACAGTGTTTGTATTCATAAACCACGCACCACACAGCTCCTAAGAGAATCCCAAATGCAGGAAAAGGTTCAACACAGTATACCATGACACATGAATATGCCACAATAACTTCTTGTGAGCTCCCAGTAAAGTGTTCTTTCAAAGCATGCATGCTGAGCTCTTCTAATAGTCCTTATGCCTGGCTATTAAACTCAGCAAACAGCTGGTCCACCTCTGTTCCCCATCCCTTTGGCAACATTTCCCCTTTTCTTCACAGTTATTATGCACAACACAGCAGACCTGCTATTGATGTTCCTTTTCACTGAGATTCAATCTAGTGAGTAAACATCAGTGACCTTCAAGCTTCTGAAGTGCATTTAACTGTTCTCCTGCACCTGCTCAGTTCAGTCTTTCCCTGGTGCTATTGAGGTGGCCAGTGTAGAGCTTCACAAACTAGAGAAGCAATGGATCTGGGTCCTTGAGGATCACAACAGACATTTCAACATTGCCAATGGTAAGTCACTGATTGGTGGGGAAGACTATGCTTGTAGCTTTCTGACAGTTTGGTGTTCTTAAAAAGATGTACATCATGCACCTTCCTTGCCAGTCAACATTAATGTCTGTGAAGCATCCCAGATGATCAATATATATTTGAATAACCTTAGAAAAATCGCTTTTCCTCTCTTGGAAAGCCTTCCACATTGTGGAAAGGTGGTCTACTTACAAAATAGGAATCTGTATGTTGTGTATTGCACCACGGCAGCTTGGGAGCCCTGTTGCTACAAATCCATCCCTTATGTCAGAGGTGGAGATCTGGCCCCTGGCTTACTTTGATCAGGCCTGTGGCAAAGTTCAGGAGTTCTCCCCGTGGCAAGTCTCTGAGCCTGAGAACCCCCATCCTGATGCTTTGTGGGTCTGGAGCATGAGCAGAGACCTGGCTCCCCATGCTGGTAGTCTGGTCATGGTCTTAGATTCAACAGGTTTAGACCTTAGTGTCTAGAAAAAAATTATATAAGCTATAGTGTGAGACATGGTTTGGATTGGTGGTATTACCCCTGTATCTAAATCTCTTGCCAGGGTGGGCATAGAACATACCTAATAAAATAATCTGAATGACGAATTTGAACTGAACTGAAGTTTTGGATCCCAGAGCACTGAATTAAATATTCTCCAAGAGGTGTCCTGGATAAGCTTAGTGGAAAAGATCTTGGAGAGAATTCCAGAAAGCCCCAGGATTAGAAGATCTAGAGGGGTGCAATGCTCTATGCTTGTATTGCTAAGAAGGGAAAATCCAGTTCTGATCAGCTTCACTTACATGAATTACCATATTTACCCATAATTCTAACTACTGAGTTTTGGGGCTTTTTTTGCTTTGGTTGGAATGTGTTTTAGGTGCACATACTAGTATCTATCAAAGTAGCTGTAGTTATTATATTCATGGAAAGGCATAGGAATTGTTCAGGCTATGCACTGGTGAGGGGTGACCCTGACCTTGACAGAAACAGAGTTAAGTTGAGTAATGAAGCTCAAGCTCAGCAGAAAGGTTCCACTAGTCTAAATTATATTTCAGCTGGCAACTTGGGGGCAAGTCTCTGTATTTCACTGGTAATTCCTTGTCCCAACCAGTGCTCCATTTTTTACACTACTGTAAACTTTTAAAAACAAATATATTGATCACTGTTTTTTTGTTTTATAGAAAGAAAAATGAAAAATTCACAGCATGCTAAGACTGATCACACTGGAAAAAACTTCTTTAATTCCATATTGATAGTTTAGAAACAAGTGAAAGGTCAGTATACTTACTTGCACACTGCTGACTGTGCTGTTTGTCATGCTTGTTCAGAAGCAAACCTCTTGCCTTACACATTGAGACAAGGGTCAAAGGCCGTGGAATATACAATTTTAGTTGTAGTTTAGCTCAGAATTATCTATCAGAGTCAGACTACAACTTGACTATCTGTCCACAGTTTTGTAAATTGAATTTTTCATAACAGGCCCCTACTCTTCACTGGGTTCCAAAGAGGAGGTGTAACTAATATAGCCCTGGGCAAAACGATGTGATGCTTTCATAACATGCAGATATACAGGTGAAAAAGACATAAATAGAGCTTATTTGTTATTGTTTGTCAGCATTTTCACTACATTTTCAGAATTGAATAGGAATTTGGTTACTCTAAAGTTACCACTTCTACTTTTCTAATTCTCCTTTTTATTGTACGGTAAATATTTGTTCTAATCTTTATTTTCAGAGTAATTTTCAGGGGGGGGGGGACAGGATAGCAGTTTTCAGATATCTAAAAGGGTGTCATAAGGAGGAGGGAGAAAACTTGTTCACACTTGTTCAAAGCCTTCAGAGCCTCCCTGGTCCTCCCCACCGGGGGCTCCTGCCCCATTCCTCCCTCATAACCTTCCATTTACTCCTCCCTAGCCCCCCTTCCTCATGTCAAATAAAAGACATGTATGTTCAAAAATAGAAACTGGGTTTATTGAACAAAACTGGGGGGGGGGGAGTTGAACCTCTGGGGAGACTGGGAAAAGGAGATGGGAGAGGGGAAGAGAGAGAGTGGAAGAGGGGAAGGGGAAACCTGAGAGGAGGAGCTGGAAGGGGGAAGCAAGGGGAAGGAGGGAGAGGGGAAGCTCAGGGCTCAGGGTTGGGAGTCTCACCGGACCAACCTGACTTTCATGCTAACCTGCTCCTGGGTTTGCATGTGGCCTTTGGTGGCCAGGCTGGCAGCTATCCTGCCATAGACGGCCGAATTCCTCTGTCTAGTGCGGAGATCATGGACATTGGGGGCATCCCCCCCAAACCTGAATGTCTATGATCTCCACCCTGGACCAGGAAGGCGCCCACCTTCTCCAGCCCCTTTCAGGCTTCTGGGAGCTGACAGACTGCTCCTGAGGAGCGGTGGAGTGCTGGCTGCCAGTGGCTTGCTGGCTCATGTTTTGGGGCTACTGGCTCCGGGGCCCCAGTGGCCACTGCTGACTCTGGGCTGGCAGGCTTGGAGCTGGCACAGGCACTGTGGCCACGGTCTACCCCTTTGATGTCTCTGGGTCTGGGGGAGAGGAGAGTAAGCTTTCCTGGTTGTGCCCAGAGTGGCCAACAGGGCCCCCTGGGAAGGGCTGGAGGCCTCCTATTTTGAATAGGACTTAATTCGAAATAGTTATTTCAAATTTGGCATTACTCCTCATAGAATGAGGTTTACCAAATTCAAAATAAGGGCTCCACTATTTTGAATTTATTTTGAAAGAGTGGTTTGCCTGTGTAGACACTATTAAGGTTAAATTGAAATAACTGCTGTTGTTTCGAATTAACTTTGTAATGTAGACATACCCTAAGGGAGCAGGATGGAGAACCACATGCTCCCAACTCTTCTGCTGATGCCTCTAGAGTAAGTCCATGTGACGGGGTAGCCGGCCCAGGCCGCCGCCCTTCCCGCTTGCACCTAGGCTGCGCACAACGCACCCCCTGGTTCCGAATCTCCTGGCGGAGTGGGGGGTCCAGGCCCACCCTCTCTCCGGACCCCTACCCAGGGCCCTGACACTGAGAGAGTGCCTCTCAGCGGTAGCAGGGGGGGCTAGTACCCCAAACACACCTGCTCACGGGTTCCACAGCCCGCCCTGGGTCCTGCTCCACTCCGCCGGCCCTTAGCCGTGCCGGTCACCCGCTGGCCTCAGCGGGCTCCCTGCCTCCTCCGCTTCCCCCTTGTCCGGGTTCCGCGATCTCCTCCCCTCTCTCCTCGCTTCCTGACCCCACTGGCTCCGGCCCCCTTACCCCGGCCGCTCCTGCTCCTCTTATCCTCTCCCTCCCCTCCGCCTTCCCTGGCGTCGCGCTTATGACGTCATCACTGGTGCGCCCAGGCACCGCATGATGACACGTCCCTCCGCCCTCGCTTGGGCCTGCCGCGGCTGTTGCCTGCCCCCTGGCTGCTCCGTTCGGCTCACATGAGTGGCGGGGTTGTCCCACCCCGTCACACCTGGGTAAACCATACACAGCTAAAACTAATGTAACAAAGGGTACATCTACACAGCAGTGTTATTTCAGAATAACTGATGTTATTTCAAAATAAGAAAATACACATCTATTCAGCAAGCCATTATTTTGAAATAATGTCGAGATAGAGGAGTTCTTACTCTGACTTCTGTAACCCTCATTTCATGAGCAGTAAGGGAAGTTGAAGAAAGAGTATTCTTCGCTAAAACTAATGTAACAAAGGGTACATCTACACAGCAGTGTTATTTCAGAATAACTGATGTTATTTCAAAATAAGAAAATACACATCTATTCAGCAAGCCATTATTTTGAAATAATGTCGAGATAGAGGAGTTCTTACTCTGACTTCTGTAACCCTCATTTCATGAGCAGTAAGGGAAGTTGAAGAAAGAGTATTCTTCCTTCAACTTCCTGCTGTGTAGACAGCGCCAAAGGCCGAATTAAGCTATTTCAACTTCAGCTGCGCAATTGACATAGCTGAAGTTGCGTATCTTAATTTGACTATTACCCTGCTGTGTAGACATAACCTAAAAGAATACAGCCCTATGGCAGATACTGTTCTGATCCAAAATGTCCTGTGCTGTGCTGCAGTACATCAAAGAGCCACACAGGTAATACCAATAACAAAGACTATCTAGAACAGGATGGGCAATAATTTTTGACCAGGGACCACTTCAGAAATTTTTGAAGTGACTCCAGGCCACCCCAGAAGAGGAGGGGCCTCAGGTGGAAAGGGAGGGTCCAAGACACTTCCGTGCTTCTCTGCCCACAGACCCTGAGTGGTCTGTGGGTGGGGGAGCATGTGAAGTCTTTGCCCCTGACCCCCAAGAGAGAATGGCCAGCTGTTCTGAACAGCTAGCCATTCCTTCTAGGTGTTCATGCCTCTGGCTGTGGGAGGAGATTTTGTGCACTCCTCCCCTACCCCCAGGTCAATCAGGGTTTGGGGGTGAGGGAAGCACATGAAATCTACCCCCGTCCTACAAGGGAGCACTGCACTTAGAGTTACCTGCTAGTTGAGCAGCAGCTTGCGGTTGACTCTAGGTCCTGAGCCCCTTGCAGGGCAGGAGGAGACGTTGTGTGCTCCTTCCACCCCAGACCAATCAGGATATGGGGGCAAGGGGAGCCCACAAAGTCTCCTCCTGCCCTGTCCCTATCCTGCAAGGAGTGTGTGCTGTGCACTTCTTGCAGGGCAGCGGCAGAGTGGGAAGAGACTTTGCATGTCTCCCACTACCCCCAGGTCCTGATTGATCTGGGGGTGGGGGGAGCACAAAGTCTCTCACTCCCTGCCCTCTGGCATGCAATGCTTACAGTTAACTGCCAGGGTTAACTCTAAGTGCCGCTAGCTCCCCCATCCCTAGGTCCTGATTGGTCTGTGGGCAGGGGAGTGGCAGGACCTCCACAGGCCGAATCAATCTTCTTGGCAGGCCAGATCCAGCCTGCAGGGGCCCTTTTGCCTACCCCTGATCTAGAAGGAGATGACTGCTCAAAATAACTTTCTCTAGTTGTGATAAATTTAGCCGTGAGGTTCTGCCACAATGTAATCCAAGGTTAGCATAAGTTGTCGTAATTAATATTAGTCACCTGGCATCATGTGAAACTGCTCATGATATTTTGCAGTCATTGAAACTGAAGGTAGCCTTCAGCTTTAAATATTAGGTTTAAACCTAATGGAATAATAATTAGATTTCCATAACAATCAAAATAAAATGCCATACAACAAATGCCAGGGCTTAAACAGTAAACAAAACCCCTGGAGGATAATATTTTTGAACTTTACATTCATCGGTATGAATGCATACATCTTTTATTTATTATATTCCTAGTGTCTCAAGGAATGTACATCACTGGATGTAGAGCCTTGTTTAATGGAATTACTGATTTTATTGAAGACATTTTCACAGAGATTACTGGTTTTTAGTAAACATGGAGCTAAACAAAGCAAGGGAAAGAATCAGTTATGTAGCAACTGAGATGGTGGACTCTGTGGCAACCTTCTATCTTTAGTTTAAAAAGTAAAGGTGTCTTGATAGTGTTGATAATTAGTATGCCAACATGTGAGTAGATGAAGCTAAACACTTAGCTATTGTAATATCAGCAATTCCCTTTGAAGAATTACTGTACATAAGAACACAAGAACATAAGAATGGCCATACTGGCTAAGACCAAAGATCCAGCCAGCCCTGTATCCTGTCTGCTGACAGTGGCCAATGCCAGGTGTCCCAGAGGGAGTGAACCAAACAGGTAATGATCAAGCGATCTCTATCCTGCCATCCATCTCCACCCTCTGACAAACAGAAGCTAGGGACACCTTTCATTACCCATACTGGCTAATAGCCATTAATGGACTTAACCTCCATGAATTTATCCAGTTCTCTTTTAAACCATGTTATAGTCCTAGACTTCACAATTTCCTCAGGCAAGGAGTTCCACAGATTGACTATGCGCTGTGCAAAGAAGAACTTCCTTTTATTTGTTTTAAACCTGTTGCCCATTAATTTCATTTGGTGGCCCCCAGTTCTTATATTATGGGAACAAGTAAATAATTTTTCCTTATTCACTTTCTCCACACCACTCATGATTTTAAATACCTCTATCATATCCCCCCTTAGTCTCCTCTTTTCCAAGCTGAAAAGTCCCAGTCTTTTTAATCTCTCCTCATATGGGACCCGTTCCAAACCCCTAATCATTTTAGTTGCCCTTTTCTGAAGCTTTTCTAATGCCAGTATATCTTTTTAGAGATGAGGAGACCACATCTGTACACTGTGTTCAAGATATGGGTGTACCATGGATTTATATAA